TGTGAGTGCTGAATATAAGGGGCAGAGACTTAAGGGTGAGCTGTGAGAATGGAAAATGCTCTGTTTGGGAAGACCTGCAGTGCTGTTTCTGTTGTCTGCCCTGGGCTACAGTGCTGCAGCAGAATTCAGTGCGGGACAGGCAGCCTCCTCAGCAGGCATCTCCCCTGCCTGTAAGAGTCCCTCAGACCTCTGCTGCATGTCACCCCCTGCCAGACTGTGCATGACTCCGTAAGCATCCTGATGCTTACGTTTTGCAGCCAGAGTCACAGCAGTGAAGGACCAAGGCATGAAATCTTGGCCTTCCCAGCCTCATTCTGCCTTCTTTCTCTTTGCAATGGATGGTTGGGAGCGTGGAGGCTTGCTTAGCTACTGTTTGGGTCCTCATTTGGGTGCCAACGAAGACAAGGAGGAAGAGAAGTCCTGCCCTGCCCTGCTGAGGCCACCAAGCTCTCAAGGACAGCAGTTCTCAGGGCTGTGTTTGCACAGGGCTTAACAGGCAGAAGCTGGGGCTGCAGCACCAGGTGAGATGTACTTTAGGGACTTCAGGTTGAAAGCTGTATGCCTCTGCTCCTGACACATGTTGGTGAAAACATGGGACACTATGGACATGCTGGTCCTGCTGCGGATGTAGGGGCTATGCTACAGGGCAGGAACAGGCTTCTCTCTTGCTGGGACAAACTTCCTCTCTTCCTCCTTCCTGTTGTTAATAGAGAAGGAGATAGAGTCCAATATTGCTGAATAAGAGTGGAAAATGCCTTTTGGCAAGTCTGTCTTTGCTGTTTTGAGGACATCAGCATTAATTATGCAGAGTTCAGGAGGGGAAGCCTCTGGGGCTTGCATGGAACCTAGTTTGATGTCCTGCTCTTACTGTGTCTTTGGCCCCACTATATTCTGTGGTCACAAGCCATGCTTGGATGGGAAAGGGCTTGGATACCTTGAGCTGGTTCCCACCAGTCCAGACTCACAGCAGCTTCCCACCAACTCCCTGCACCTTGTCTCTTGATGCTCAGGAGCTCATGCTGATGTTAGCATCTCAGCCCAGGCTGAGCCAAGCTTGCCCTGACCTACAGTCTTTAAGCAGAAGGAGGGATCAGGAAAGACACCTTTAACCATGTTCCAGTGCAGCACAGTTTGTGTGGTCAGAGATGCTCCTTCACCTGTGGTGGCAGCATAAGGAAACATGCAGGGTCCTTCCCTAGAGGGAGACACTGGGATCAAAACAGAAAGCTTTGGAAAATGATCTCTGCCTTTAGTGTGTATTTGAGCTGGGGAGAGCAGCTGTTGCTAGAAAAATCCCCTTATCCCTCCCACACTGCTGGAAAGGATTTCCTTTCATAATTGGGATCTTTGCTTCTGTGCTATAAGACTGCATGCTGCAAGCACCACCTTTCCTCCCTGCCCATGCTTTGACTGAAACACTCTACCTAACATCAGGTACAGGTGCCAGCCCTGCACCTTGCAGCACAAGACACATTGGAGCATTCCCTGCCTGGCTGAGGGTGGGGGCAGAGAGTCCTCTCGAGTGAGCATCTGAGACCAAGATGCAAACCAATTACAAAGGAAAGAGGTATTGTGAGGCCCGTGGGTTGCACTGTGCCTGGGAAAACTGACTGCCGGGGAAGACCAGCCAGTCTCCTGCTCAGCTGAAAGACTCCTGGGAAAGGCCTTTGGTGAAGGATACTAAGTACGCACTGTTAATGAAGACTGTGGAGTTGGTTGTCAAAGCATTTTTAATTGCCTAAATTGGTGTTGTAACCCTAGAAGAACCCTGGTAGGTCTGACCTAAAGTGATACAATGGCAGATCTCCTCAAGCCTGCTGCCAGTTGTTCTTGCAGCTGGGAGAACTAGAGGGGCAGAAGTGCTCTGAACATCCTGTGAGGTTTTCCCAGCTTCCCACACACCTGAAGCACCTCTCCGTCCATGAGGGAGCCCCTTGTGCTTACCAGCTGGTTGGGAGGTTGCATAACTAAGGATGGTGTGGACTGCTTCTGTGCCTCCTGATTCAGCTTGTGAAAAGGCGGTGTAAGCCTTAGACATATGCCTCATCTTCTCCATTTCTGAGTGTTATGGCTGGGTTACTGAAGAGGCTAGGAAGGTTTATATCCAGTCCATCCTTTAGGCTTCAGGGGGAATATCTCTGGGACCTGTCTCTCTGAAATGTGTCTTAAATTACCTGTAGACTTGCAGAATTTGTCTTCAGCATGTAATAGTTTGTTTAAATAATGTTTAGATAGGCTTGTGGGCAATGTGAGCATATGAGCCTCATTTCTTTTGAGAAAGACATGTTGGAAAATGGGGCTATAAAACATGCAACAATGAGGTAAACAGTTTGGTGTCTGCAGAGGAAAATCACAGTTCCCTGATCTGTTGCAAGTCTTTCAATACTATTGTAAAATAACAGCATCTGGCCAACTTGTGTAACTTGCTTGGATGTTCAGAAAATGTCTGGAATTTCTCACAGAAAGCTGTTAAGAAAACTGTGTGTGCTGGAGGAGATGTAGAGTTCTGGCTCAAAAGTTGGCTGAGGTTCCACAAACAAAGTCAAGGAGTGAACTAGCAATTTTAATGTGACAAGAGTAGAAGGATGAGGTCCTTTGCTATTAATGGCCCAGAAAAGGTACCTAAAATCTGCCAATACCCTGGAGTCATTCGGCTTTGTCAAGAGGAAGTGGCTCCAAAGTGACACCATTTGTAGTGAGGTGGTGGGGGAAGATGAGAAGCATGCAGCCAGGTGTATTGGAAGGAGTGATTTGCTCTGGGACATGGCTGGCTTCTAATCTACCATGGCTACTCAGGACAGTGGAATTGCAGGCTGATGACAGAGATGCTTTTCCTCAATGTGCAAAGATGCCGTCAGAGAAGTAAATAATGCTTAGCCACGTGAGAAGTAGTGTGAGGAGAGATGCTGAGAATATCAGGGTGCTGTTCTGGCAGTCAAGGTCATTTCCCTACCCAGGATGTTGTATGTGGTTCTGGTTACTTTTCCATAGGGTCAGAAGGGAGAATGTGTTAGGGATGTGTGGGTGAGTGGTTAGCGCTAGAAGACATCTTGTGTCCTGGGAAGGAGAGAGCACTTAGTCATGAACTTAGTAGGTCTAGAAAAAGCAAATGCTTTTCTTATTTGCTTTTTTTTCATCCTTTTTTCTCCTTTTTTCAAGGAGAACTTAAGGCTGTGGTGTTACAGTAGGATTGTAGTCTTTACTCAAAATCTGGAACTCATTGCTAAAAGTTTACAAGGTTCCCAAAAAGGGGATTGAGAGGTATTTCTTTTTTCATTCAGTTCATCTAGATTGCATTTACAGAGGGGTGTAACCATTCATACTCCAAAGTATGTGGTACTCCTTTGAGTCTCATCCCATCATTTTTTCCCATCACTTCCCTAGAGCTTCTGAGTCTCTAGTTAATTCAGCCAGAGTGAGTTATCCTGTCTTCCCGATTTATTCCCAACTGTGATCTCATGTCTTGTCTTGTTTTTCTGCTGCTTTTCTGCTCCTTTTTTCTGCTGTAGGCAGCCCTGCTCCACTTCTGTACCTGTGAATTATGTCTTAACATGCTGCTTTGTGGCCTTTCCAATTCGGCTGACCCCCTCTAAATGCCTGTACCTAGATGGGCTTTTGCTTCTTGGGCTGCCCTTTGTCATCAGTGCTTCAGCTGGTTTGTAGCTGTGCACCCATACAAGCTGAGCTGGGAGGGATCACTTTGATGTGGAGCTCTCTAGGTCACCGCAGCGAATTGTTTTATGGTCATTATCCAGCTAGTGTTGTGCTGTGATGCTGATAAATCTCTGCAGCCAGGGAGGAGATGGCCAATATTATACCCGTGAGCTGGAGGTATGAGCCCTGCATTCCCTCTGCTAATGTCACCAAATAATTCAGAGCTTGAAGGGCAGTGGTGGTGGCAGTTTACTCATTCTTTGGGCAAGCAATGGCTCTTTTGCCCAGCCCGTAGGGATGGCATTTCTGGGGAAAAAAAAAAAGCCAGGTATTGCCCAGAAGTGATACTGTGCTATCCAGCTGTTCTGTGTGGTTCATGGTAGTAGTAAGAGGAATGGTTTAGGGATCAAAAGCCTGTATAGATTTTCACTTTCCTTCTGCAACTGATGGGATTTTCTCAGCCCTGTTCTGAAAAGTGGTTGTGTTTCTGGTGTCAGCATGTCTTAATCTGAGTTACTAAGTTCGCATTTATCCATTGCTACTATAATCAGCTCTGTGTTTCTTATGGATCTGCTCTGCACAGGAGGAGGACCTCCCCATGGCCAAGCAGTGATGCTGAGCTGCATGCCCCTGTGGGTCTTGTAACAGTTTGGGGAAGGCACTGAAATAAAAAAAAGAAATATTTGACCAGCTAAATAGTAGAGCCAAAGCCTCCTTTCTACCCTGTGTGCTTGCATTTAAATGGCCTCCAAGTCAGAGGAAGGAGAGAAAACAAGCAGGAGGTATGACCAGCCCCTTGCGGGTGCCCTGGGAGGTGGAGGCTGAGGCCTGCAGTCAAGAGAGGGTGATGATTCAGCCTAATAAAGCTAATGGCTTTATGCAACCAGGCAAAGGAAATTGTGGGATCATGATGCAGCAGCTGTCCTATAGCAGTTTGTTTCTATCATCCAGAAGTGACTTCATGCCCCATCTACCCCACCCTTTCACTTTTTCCTGTACCTAAATGCTGTCCCTGCTGAGGAGGGGGAGCAGGGCCACTTGAGTGTTCTCAGGAAAAGTCGTCTGTGAGACAGCTGCACCTAAATGGTGTGAGAGTAGACAAAAACAAGGAAAGGAGTTCTGGGACTCCATGGTGGGACTATAGCTACTGAAGCATGTGGGTTCTTCTGGCACTACCAAACTCAGCAGGCTTCTCAGATGAACTTGACCCTGGACACTAGTCCCAGGAAAATACTGTAGCACAGAAAAGCTTGATCTGGCAGGCAAGGTTGGCCCCCAACTCCAACAGGGCTACATTGTCATCAAACTGGCATGTGTCTAACCAGCTCTTTCTCTCCTTTATCCAGGGAAGACGATGAAGCTGTAGAGATGCTGCCTTACGTCATTGCCACCCTGGGCTCAGTAGGGGCCCCTTGCAAAACTCCCACATGCAACAACAACAACAGCACTACCAAGGACTACTGCTACAGTGCACGCATCCGCAGCACTGTGCTGCAGGGGCTGCCCTTTGGTGGGGTGCCCACTGTCCTAGCCCTTGACTTTATGTGCTTTCTCGTAAGTCTACCTACTGTTGCTTTGACACCTTCTCCTGTAATTAACCATGAAACAAGGACAGTGATCAGATGATTAGGGTTGAGGGCCTCAAATGCCATCCCTGACTTTGCTGCTGGCTGGCATTCTGGCCCTGATCATGTCTCCTAGACACTGTGATCTTAGCCACTACTGACTTAGCTCCAATACCACCACAATGAGCCCCGTGGAAGGGTGTTGCAGCCATAAGGATGGAGGTGATGTTGGGTCAGTCCTGCATCCCAAAACTCCACTTTATGTTGCCAGGTCCCTGCAGCTTTGTCTACCTCTTTAGAAGCTGTGGGACCACAAATGATACAGCCATAATTCTGACTTCTAGGAACCTCAAGGCCTTTTGATCCTGTGGGGCTACCTTAGCTTTGTGTGTTGCATCCTGGACCTCTGCCTCCCACAGCTATCCAGATAGTCTGATTTAACAGTCCTGGGGAACTTGTGCTCTCCTGTGGTCTCAGTGTGCTCTTAATTGAGGACTCTGACCCCTCCTACCCTCCTTGTTCCTGTGGCCCTGCATGTAGAGTGTCACCCTGGAAACTGAAGCCTTCTGATAATGTTTTTGTAGTTCTAGTTACTTTCCCATGAAAGTTCTACAAACATAAGTTGTTTATCACATTCCTTCTAAGAAACATCTTCTGATGGATGTTTCTCATGACCAGTGTGCTTGGGAAGATGGTAACTTAATTTTCCAGTCCCTGGTCATTGTCAACAATCTGTAAATACTGGAGTCAGAGAAAAAAGGCACTGTTTTTTCTGTTCTGACACTGAGAGGTGTTCGTGTGAATCATTTCGTGTCCTCTAGTGACAGTAGTGGACAAGGACGAAGTTGGACAATGCCCTTTCTCACAGCATCTCTTTTGGTCTCTTTCAGGCACTGTTGTTTGTCTTTTCAATTTTACGTAAAGTTGCTTGGGACTATGGACGCCTGGCCCTGGTGACTGATGCTGACAGGTAAGCACGGGAGAGTGGCAAGGGAATAAGATATGATTAGTGCCTTTTTTTACTGTGAGGCAGAAGGGATAAATCCCATTTTGTGTGCCTGAGCAGCTGGAGAGGAGAGGCAGATGTGCTGGTTGCATCCCCTGAGCTCCAGGAATAGGAAGAAATCCCTGCTTACTGGCTTTTTTGTTACAGCATCCTTTCTCAACACACTGAGTGGTCCCCACAGGCTCCATATCGCTTATGGTCCCTTCAGTGACAGAGATTGCAGGGGCCCTTACAGAGGACCAGCAGATGGAGGGAGGAGAGGACTAAGAGGTCACAGGAAGGGTGAGAGCTGCCACAGTAAAGGCTTTGTTAAGCATCTGAAGGTGTCTTTGTGACTGCTGGATGCAGTTCTTGTTAAGAGCACTTGGCAGTAGTATGCTGCTTTTGCAGGTGTGGTACTGCTTAGTTCACATCTCAAGTGCTGATAAATTGGTCTGGGTGTAGATCCTTCCTGCCCAATGCAGTGTCTGTCAGCAAAAGCCAAGGCCCATTGGGGATGGCAGCTCCACAGCAGAGGGAGCATTCCCTGCACAACAGTGGGAATAGTTGGTTTTATCCAGCATCAAACCAGGAATTCTCCTGGTTTAAATAAATGGTCCTGGATAAGGTTAGATAAGCAGTCACTGTGGCTCCTCTGCCCATCCTTCCCTGGTGTGGCTGGGGAAATCAGCTGTACAGAGGTAGTGGAAGGGAAACAAGGAGAAAGGGATAATCACAGGAGATGCCAATGGGGAGAAGGCAGCAGAGTTAAGCAGTCAGGGTTCAGGTGCTTGCAGGAAGCCACTGGGGCTGCACAGCTCTGGCCTCCAGTGGGGAGAGAGGGCTGGATTTTCTCTGAGGCAATGCTTGAGCACCTTGGGTGCGAGGGAGTGCAAGCAGTGGCTGTAGGCAGAAAGGCAGAGGGGTACCAGCTGTTTGGAGAGGGAGAGCTGGTAAACATAGGGAGAGGGACATGGTAACTGTGGATCAAGCTGTGGATCAACAGGACTGAGGACACAGGGAGGAGTCCATGCTGCTTGGCTTATCCATGGGGTAGGATGAGATTTTCAGGAGGGAGGTGCATGTGTGTTTGTTGCCTGGGTGGGGAAGAGATGTATGGGAGGGGAGCTCAGATGGCAGCCAGGCAGTTCCTACAGTCTCTCCTACTTGACCCCGTCACTCAGGAGCTCCCTGCAATGTCCATGGTATGAAGCCAAGTCACCTTCCCAGTGAAGCCAGCTTCCCTTCAGCTGGCAGCAAAGCATTCTGCTCCTGGACCAGTGGGTATTCCAGATTGCTGTGAATTGAGGCATTGCTGAGCTCTGGAAGGAAGGTCTTCTCCAGCCTGACCATTGGCAGGTTTCTCTTCTTCAGGATGATGGGGAGCCATGTTGTATGCATAGTTCCCTGCAAAAGAGAATTCAGCACCTACTCCCGTGGTTGTAACCTTTCCCTTTCTGTTTCTGTGCCCCCAGGCGCCGACGCTGGGAGACGGAAAGAGAGGAGCGGGAATAGTATGTTGTTTTTTCAGGGTGTCATGTCTTCTCTCTTTCTTGCTCACAACCTCTCTCTACTTTTTTCTTGCAGCTGTCTTGCTTCTGAACTAATCTAAATGGGAGCTTGGGCATGAATTTGTGCCTCTCCGTGGATTTGTGCTCTTCTTTCCCTCCCCTTTGTGTCATCCACTACCACAGCTGAATGCACCCTGGTTTTCCCCAGTAGCCCTTAAATGCTCCTTGAGATCAGCAGTGCCAGGGAGCTCTCAGTCCTGACCAAAGCAGAGGGTGCTGTATCACATGCCCCGCTCTATCTGCTTGTGTCCAGCTATCCTGTCTTAGGATGGAAGTAAACAAACCTGCTTGCCTGAGCCCACAGTACACTCAGGTCACCCAGGTGCAGGGGAGGTGACTTTGCCTGGTCCTTCTTGTGCCAGGTTGCCACAAGAGCTGTTCCCTCACCATCTGCAAGGGTAGGCAGATGGACAAAGAGGATCTGACAAGAGTACTGTCTTTCCTTTTTACCCCATGAGGCTGCTGGGACCAGGGTAACCTTTGGTCCTTGTCCCTTACCACCTAAACCCACACCCAGAAAGGCAGCGCCCTTGATTTTCTCTATTCCCCTGTGGAAGAAGCCTTTTGCCTCAGTGCGGCTGAAAGCATCCTTTGTCACCTTGGCCTGGTGATGCCCATCAAGTCCTGCTATGGACTGTCCTCCCTGTTTTTACCTCTTTCTTGCTGCTTTTATGCCTGAGGAAAGACCATCACCTGTGCCTTGCTGACTGGTTGGGTGGTATGTGCTGCAGAGGGGATAATCAGCTGGCAGTGCACAGCCTGCCGTGGTCACTCCAGCTACACTGATTTGTGTCTGAGGCCGGGGCAGCAAACTGCAGCCTCCTTTTCCCACTTGCAAAGCAGGGGCCTGATATTGCCTTAAAGGGGGTACAAGAATGTGCCTGTTTTTGCAGCTGATCCTTGCCCTCAGGAGCAGAGCAGTTGAAGTTGTTAAAACAGAACTGGTGGTTGCTGTGGTACATGGCACAGAGGGGACCTCTCACTCATGCTTGACTGCTTCACTAGTGGTTGGCCCTGCTTCAGGTGTGTCTGGCAACTTTTCACCGCTAACATCTTGTGGGAGGAGTAAGGCAGAGGTAGTAGAGCCATCATGCTCTGTGGGTTTTTTAGGGGGCCACATCATTTATCTTCACAAGTGCTTGTCTCTCTCCATGGGGCCACTTCTTCCTGCTCCTGTTTTTGAGTTTGTTGGAGCCATCTGCTCCATCTTCTTCCTGCTCCTGTTTTTGAGTTTGTTGGAGCCATCTGCTCCATACACACCACACATACCACCCCTAAACCTACTGCATGAGCTGGAACAGTGTTAGCAGCCAGAAGCCTCCATAACCCGCAGAACTCAGTGAGGGAGTCTTATTCTGTCTCTGCTCCTTCAAGGCTAATGGTACATTCACATCCCAGCTGTTCTTTGCTGGGGAGTGCAGTGACAGGTGGTGGGTTAGGAACATGTATGTCACCTGGTGCTCCCAGCCTCTGAATGTATCAACATTGTTCTTTGCCGGTTAGGGCATTCTCCTCTGATGTGTTCCCTTTCCCTGAGAAGCAAAGGCCCTTGTCCTGTGACTTGTCAGAGCTTGCAGTAGCCATCAACAGTTGCAACTGGCAACTCAGTCTGCACTGGGAGGTCATAGCAGCCCACTTGCACTTCTGCATGTGAGGGAAGTGATCACAAAGCCCTGTGGGGCTTGCCACCTATGCAACCACCTACAGCTTCACACTACAGCAAGCCCTTGCCGCAGCATGTCTGGCCTGCCGTCTTGCCTGTGATTCCTTTGGCCTAAGGCTAGCTGTGCCTCTGACCCTGTCCTTCTCCTTCCCTGGCAGGGCCTGCACCAGACCTGCATCCTGCAGGGTCCCACCTTAATCTTGTGATTTGGGGCAACCTTGCTTTCACCCACTTGAACTTGTCAGTGCTTTGCTTTAAAAAATCTCCATCCAGGTGCAGGTGCTGTTGGAGCTCCCTAATCAGCTGTCCATCTTTGGCAAGGTTTTGCACCCTCTGTCTTCTAAACACTTAAGGTCATCCTGATTATTGTCACTGCATCCCCCCACAGAAACATGAGTTTTCTTGGTTATCCAAAAGCTCATGGTGTCACTTTGCTGGGCTTTCCTCAGGGCAGAAATTTCTCTTCAGCAGAAATTCACCCTCACTCCCTGTGCCCAGCTGCAAGGTCTCTGTAATTATTAAGAGCTGAAGATCTGAGAGTTGGGTCGAAGTTGTCTCTGTCCCTTCAGCAGAGCAGAGTGTTGGGCTGCCCAGTGGCAAGGCTGCATGCCACTGTCTAATCTGCACTGCCGTAGTCCCCTGACCTTCAGCTAATCTCCTTTCCCCTGTCTGTTACTTCCAGCTAGGAACTGGGGATTCAGCAAGTGCTACTCTGCTCTGAGAGAGGCCATGTGTCTCATCCACTTTACTTCAGAATGTCCATGAGGATCTCTGCTTATCTTCCTTCCCATAATGTCATCCACCTCCTCTTTAGCACTTGTCTCTCAGCAGCTGTTTCTGTGTTCTTTCCCATCTTACCCTCCTTGAGCCTGTACTGACTACAGGGAGACCATATTTCCATTTCTTCTTTTCCTTTGTTTCTAGCCTTCATATCAGTCATATCTCTTCTTTCACCTCTGAAATCCCAGCCTGCTGTTGTCATCTTGCAAGTGCTATTTAATTTAGGTCTCTGGACCATTTTCTTACCTCCTTTTCCAGCTGCCCTCTGCCTCTGTTTGTAGTGGGGGCTATTGTCAGCCTTGGATGCTTCTGCTGTAGGTTCTTCATCTAGGTCCCTGCCTCTGGCTGGAGTAAAGTGGTTTCATGATATTCACCCCATTTGCTTTCCTGTCCTTTACCATGGAGACATTTACTTCCAGCTCTCTGCCCTGTTCCTGCTCAAGGGATTTCCAGGGTGGAGGCTCAGCTGAGTCTGAGATGCAGGTTACACTGACCCTGGCTCCAGTCAGCTGCATTCTTCCTCCAGCACTGAAGAACTAAGGGTGGGAAGGACTGGTGTACAGGATGCAGCCCACCAGACTCCTTCCTTCCTCTTCCTGGAGATGAGCAAAGTCCTGCAGGACAGGAAGCTGTTGCCAGTGCCTCTCCAGCTATTCCAGAGCAGCTGTGGAAGCCTCCAGTTCTCTCTTCCTTTCTGCTGTCTAAACCCTGTGCTAAACAGACCTCACCTCTCCTCTGTGGCAGCTTCTGCCAACCTCTCCTTGCAGTGACTGCCACATAGTATGGGTGCCTTCCAGAAGGTGCCTAATAAGTAGCATCCATGGGCTAAGCTCATGGGCTTTGCCAGGCTCAGCATGCCATCTGAGGAGGGTTCTCTCTTTACTGCTACCTCTGATCTTACCTTTCTCCATCTCACCGGGTGCAAACTGACCTGAATTAACCTCTAGTCTCCTGGGTGCACTTGGCTCCTGGCCAGGCTGCCTCTTCACATCTTCTAACTTTCTCCCTCACATTCCACTTGTCATTTTAGCATAGCCTCCGCCCTGCATTCTGACAACCATGACCGCTATGAGCGCCTCACCTCTGTATCCAGCTCTGTGGACTTCGACCAGAGGGACAACGTGAGTAGCCACAAGAGTCAAATGCTTTGCCTTTGAGGGGCCAGGAACCCACAGCTTGGCTGAACCAAGGGCTCTTCAGAAGAAACACTTTTGCCCGTTCCTGGGCTTTAAGTCCCACATCTTGCAGTGTGTGAGTGCTGTGTAGAGCTTAAGGAACTGCAGCTCTCAAACATGTGCTTAAATAAATAGGCTTCACTATGGCTTAACAGATGCCTGTCCAGCCTATAATCTCAGCACTACAAACAATACTTACTTGCCAGCTCTTCCTCACACAGTGGTCTACCTCTACTGTTTTTTCCCCTTGGTGAAGGGGAGGATAATGGGTGTGATGGATGGGGGGTGAAGCTCCCCCAGGTGTCCTTTGAGGAGCGCTGCCTTGGCCCAGCCTACCTTCTCAGTCCCTGCAGAGCTTCTCTTGTCCATCATGATGGCTAAAGTACCTGTATGCTGTATTTTCTGGGTCTGCCTAGGCTTTGGAGAGCTTCCATATTAGCCAGGAGCCTGGGTTGCCTGGAAGGTTGAGCTGCCAGTTGATAGGGGACAGCCCACAGCAAAGTCCAACCTGTGTTGTGCTCCACTGTCACCTCCTTCACCTTGGCCCATCTGTGGCTCTGCACATCTGGGTGCTTGTTGTCTTTCCGCCCGCCCAAGCCAAGTATGTGCAAGGACACCAGCCTGGTCCCTGGAACCTTTGAAGGAGGGAGCTGGGATAAAGGAACACAGAGTGTTGTGAAACTGTCCTGTTTTCTTTTTGCACAGGGTTTCTGCTCCTGGCTGACAGCCATCTTCAGGATAAAGTGAGTGCTACAGAACCTGTATGGGGGACCCACATGGGGAAGGAGGGGCAGTACAGGGTTGTTGGGACACCCACTGCAGTACAGCTTCATGAAGTCACTGTCCTTGCTGCAACCCCCTCTCTGAAAAGCATAAGTTTGTCCTCTAGAGAGGACAAGAAAAGACAGTACTACATGAGGAGCCCTAAAGACAAAATAACGTCACACAGTGAGTCTGTGACAGAGGAGAGAACCCAGGCCCATGGCTGCCCCTCCATCATTCCCATCTCAGAAACACTGTCCATTGCTCTGCAAAGGTACCTCCCTGGCACTCTTGCTAGGGGCACTGCTGCCTCAGGAATGGCTATGAGAAGGATGCAGGGAGACACCCTCAGCCTGATGATCCACAGGAGTAGTCTCCCAAGCACTTCTACTCAGAGTGCTGCAGGGGATAATACCAGCATCTGTATCTTAGCAGGGAAGGCAAGGCCCACCTGAAGGGTATAAGGTGTGTCCAGTTGCCTTCTCTGGGGGACAGAGAGCAGGGCCATGGGAAGCAGGTCTGGGTAATCATTGCACAGGCAGGTTTTTGCCCAGGCTACTTCAAGGCTGAGTGCTGGGCTCCCAAGCCCAGAGTCTGGCTACAGCTCTGTAGGGCAGAACAAGGGGTGCTGTGTCTTCTCAGATCAGGAGGGCAGCTGCAACCCTGCACTTTTCCCCAACACTTCAGGAAATGTAGAAAATTGCCTGACAGCCTTTTTCTTCCTGGCAGGGATGATGAGATCCGGGATAAATGCGGGGTTGATGCAGTGCACTACCTGTCCTTCCAGAGGCATATCATTGGGCTGCTCGTGGTCGTGGGTGTGCTGTCTGTGGGCATCGTGTTACCTGTCAACTTCTCAGGGGACCTGCTAGGTGAGAACAAGGAGCCTTTGGCTGGGCTGGGGCATCTGCATTTCAACACCATGTTCCAGACCACTGGTTAGCAGTAGAGGGCAGAACAGGACTAACACAGACAAACCCTAACTCTTGTCTCACTTTGAGTGTAGTGCATTCACAGGGTCATCCTGTGTAACTTGGGGTTTTAGGTGTTTTGCGGGTGATAATTCTTGCTGTAGCTCACTCTAGTGGTGCTCTGTCCCATTCAGTATAACTGAACATGCTTTTGTCTGCCTCTTTCTCCCTAGAAAACAATGCCTACAGCTTTGGGAGGACAACTATCGCTAACCTGAAGTCTGGGTATGTGTGGGGAGGGGTGGGATGGATAATTGAAGCCCCCAAGGCGTATTTTGTAAATGTTCACTTGATGCAGAGCCTCATCTTCTTGAAGGCTGTATATCTGCCCTTTCTTTGAGGCTGCTGTCCCTGATCTAATTTCCAGGCTGAGCTCCTGGAATTTGGTTGTAGGGCATCTGTGTGCTATGCTGAATGCACTCATGGCCCCAGTGCCTTCAGGACCTGACCAGCCTTACACAGACTTGTAGTGACCTTTGCATTGACCTTTGTGGTCTCCCTTGTGACAGGAATAACCTGCTGTGGCTGCACACCACGTTTGCTTTCCTGTACCTGCTGCTGACAGTGTACAGCATGCGCCGGCATACTTCAAAGATGCGCTACAAAGAGGATGACTTGGTGAGCAGGGTCTGGCCACTGTCCCAGGCACATTTTCCTATGCCCTGTGGTCAAGTCAGGTAGCATTGGAGACAATGCTGAGCCCCTCAGTTTCCACAGCAGTTTAGAGCTGCCATGTCTTGGCTGTTTTTATTCAGCCTGGCCAAAGGCAGATCATCTCCAGAGCAGCAGCTGTGACTGCCCATGGGGAAGCAGGAGAGGCCTGCACTGGATAAACACATGGAAGGACCCCATTCTTCCTTAGGGGTTGTTCCAGCTACCTTTGCCTTCTTCATTTCTGAAGGGTAGCCCTGTTTCTGTTCAGGCACCTGCAGTGTAAGTCCCTAGCCTGTCAATCTGCAGCGCACCCCAGTGCAGGATGACAACAATTAGCAGAAGCACAGGAGAGGGGGAGCCCTGGTAGCTAGAATTGATGGGGTCACCTTTTTTCATCACTGGCACAGGTCTTGGTAGGGGGCTTGCTGCAATCTGGTCTTTTACACCATCCACACCTACCTGTCCTCTCCTTTCTCTCTTCTTCCCAGGTTAAGCGAACTCTATTCATCAATGGGATCTCGAAATATGCCGAGCCAGAGAAGATCAAGAAGCATTTTGAGTAAGTCTCACTGTGTCCCTGAAGACTTCCCTGTAACAGGGGCGTTTTTATTAGGGTAGTACTAGTGTTACCTGGAATGGCAATAATACATTGAGAACAGAGAGCTAGGCAAAATTGGTGAATACTTTTATTTTGTGCCTCTCACTCTTATTTTTCTGCTTTTTATCTAAATTTGAAGTATCCTTTGTTTTGTGCCTTTGGATATGCCCAGCTATCTCTTGCAGAGCCATAGGAGGTCAGTGTGGTAAGCAGTGCCCCTGCTTATGTGCCCATGGACAAGGCATGTCTTGAACTGTAGTTAAGATCACAGATGAGATACAGGCAGGAGGTGATCAAGCAGTGACTGTGGGATGTTGTGCTGCTGCCCTGATCACAGTTCTTGTAGAAAGTATATCTCTTTAACGAGAAAATGAAATTCCTCTTCTCTCAGAACCTCACTGTCAGGAGAACCATGTCTAGAAGCACCATGGGTGAAAAGAAATGGTTTTGTACCCTTTGGTACAAAGAGGTACCCTTTGTGCCTCTTTCTGACCACAAGTCTGTGAAGGCAGAGAGGGGAGTGTGGGGTTAGAGAGGCTCCTGGCTGCTATAGGGCAAAAGTTCTTGTGCCAACACCTAAAGGATGTAGCATTTTCCCTGTATTTTGTGTCTGCTGCAAGGGACAGAGCCTGTAGGTTCCCCTGCAAATTCTTGGTATGCATCACTGTACTCAGCCCAGGAGACTCTTCTCAGGGCCAGGGAGAAGTCCTGAACACTTGTAGTTTGCTTGAGGGGTACCTTTGGTGCCAGTTGTGGTGAACTGATGCTTCTCATCCACAGGGAGGCCTATGCCAATTGCACTGTTCTGGAGGCCCGTCCCTGCTATGATGTTGCCCGACTGATGTTCCTCGATGCAGAGAGGTAACCTCTATTTTGGGAGAAAAGACAGAGTGGGCTGATGTTGCTGATACCCCCTCAAGTCTGGTGCCAAAGAGCTTTTATGAGTCACCCTCTTTCTTTCCTTTCTTCCTTCTTTTCCACTCTCATGTTTCAGGAAGAAAGCTGAGCGTGGGCGAATCTACTTTACCAACCTGCAGAGCAAGGACAACACCCCATCCATGATCAACCCCAAGCCCTGTGGCCACCTGTGCTGCTGTGTCATCAGGGGCTGTGAGGAGGTAAGGGAGAGCTGGAGGTGTTGGGCAGCAGTTGGGTGTCTCATGGCTTGGGTCCCCAGATCATCTCTCCTCTGACTTCTGTCCTTCTGCTCAGGTGGAGGCTATTGAGTATTATACCAAGCTGGAGGAGAAGCTCAAAGATGACTACAAGCGGGAGAAGGAGAAGGTTAATGAAAAGCCTCTGGGGATGGCCTTTGTCACCTTCCACAATGAGACCATCACAGCCATGTGAGTGCAGATGGTCCTGACATCCCAAAAAAGATGACTTGTCCCAGCCTTTGCCTTAAATCAGAAGAACAGCAGCACTAAGGCATCCCCTTGGCTTGTGCCTGCTAGCCTTTTGTGTCAGCATGTCCCTCTTTCTCTTGTCCAGAATTCTCAAAGATTTCAACGCTTGTAAGTGCCAGGGCTGTGCATGCCATGGGGAGCCCAGAGCGTCCTCCTGCAGTGAGTCCCTCCATGTCTCCAACTGGACTGTCAGTTATGCTCCTGACCCACAGAACATCTACTGGTGAGCAGCTCTGTAGGGTTCAGTGGCCCTGCCAGTGGGAAGGGAGTGCACCCTCCCTTTCTCTGTCTCCATCTGCTCCTCCAGTAACTGAGTTGTTCTTGCTGAAGTCCAGCCTGGCTGAGCTAGAGGTCTGATCTGACTGGGAGGGGGAAAGCCTTGGGCTGACACCCCAAGTGCTGCTCACCAGGCTGGGCTGTAGTGTGCATGCAAAGCCCACACCTGGTATTCCACCCTGTGCAGCCATCCTGATGCCCTCTTTCTCCCTCCCAGGGAACACCTCTCCATCCGGGGCTTTGTATGGTGGATCCGCTGCTTTGTGATTAATGTGGTCCTCTTCATCCTTCTCTTCTTTCTCACCACTCCTGCTATCATCATCACCACTATGGACAAGTTCAATGTCACCAAGCCTGTGGAGTACCTCAATGTAAGGATTTTGGAGATGGATGCAGGGTGGGTAACACAGGAACCACCCCAAGGCACAACATCCCCTGCAAGGCTAGGGATAGGGAGAGAGATTGTTCTTCAGGTCCTGTCATGAGGCCTGACCATGAGGGAGGTGCTAAGCCTGGACAGGATGCAGTGGCAGTCGCAGTGCTGGGGCCTTGGCATCAGCAAAGGCAACTGTACCTGTGGCTGGCACAAGAGCTGGTGCACCATGTAATGTGATTTCTTCTCTGCCTTGTTTCAGAACCCAATCATCACTCAGTTCTTCCCCACCCTGCTGCTGTGGTGCTTCTCTGCTCTTCTGCCCACCATTGTATACTACTCTGCCTTTTTTGAAGCACACTGGACCAGGTAAGGACAGCCAGCACCTGTTCTTACCTTCTCAGTGAGCTGATTGGCCACCAGACACTTCTCACTGACATAAAGCTACAGGCTGGATCTTGAACTTCTGTCTTCCACTCCAAGCATTATGTTATGTTGCACATCTTGGGCACCTGAAGACTGCTGTGGACAGTTGTTCTGCGAGTCTTTAGCTGCTGTTGTGCAGCATGGTTGTCTGAGTAGAACTTGACAGGTCTACAATAAGAAGAAAGCTGGGAGGAGTTGGGACTGGTCACCATGAGAAATGCTAGTAGTGAGGGAAGTCTTGGCTCAGGTGAGCAGGCAGGGGTATGGTGTGCCTGTACCATATGTAAGATAGAGCAGTTCCAAGGGAAAATTGTTTTAGCTGCTCTGGCTCCTGGCCACAAGGAAAGCACTTCAAGTGCAGAGCACTAGAAGCATGCTGCTTGTGAGGCACATTCCCCACAGGACACAAAATGTAAACTTTGTTTTCTGGTCTGTGTTGCAGAGACTGGTGGGGGAGGGTGTCATCAGCTCTCAGGATTGCAGGTCAGGGAAGATGATTGCAGAGCCTGTGAGACAAGAGGAAAAGAACGGAGACTCGATAATGGATTTCAAATACGCTGGAGGGAAAGAGGATGTATTCGTGTACTAGGAACAGACAGGGTGGGATTTAGATTAGACATTGCGAAGTTCGTAGTGATGGAAAGCCATTGGGAGCACAGCTTGCATGGCTGGTGGGGTGAAAGGTTAACAGCCTCTCTGTCCTCAGGTCTGGAGAGAATAGGACAACCATGCACAAGTGTTACACCTTCCTAATCTTCATGGTCTTGCTGCTGCCATCACTGGGCCTGAGCAGGTAGGGGTTGTGGAAAGGAAAGGCAAATAGAGATGTGGAGCACAGGGAGGGTTGAATTGCACCCGTTATTGTTTTTTTTACAGCATTCTTTCCTCACTGCATTGTTGCCCGGGCCACCATCCCCCTGGGAGACCGGTGTTTAATTTTAGTTGAGGGGGAACAGGCCAGACCATACATGACTGGATCTCTAGGACTTTATTGATTCAATCTGCAAACACATTGACATGTGCCATGGTATTAGAAATAATGCAGCAAAGGTTGGCTAGATGGTAGATGAGTATATGTGAAAAGTCTGCTTGATATGAAGGAGGCATTCTCCAGCTCTGTGCTCAGTGTGCAGTCCAAATTTTGCACAAAACCAGTGTATTCCTGCTTTAAGCCAGAACTTGAATAGGTTGCGCTGCTTGGCTGGGTGGGATAGTGTGGGTACAGAAATGCTCATCTGTTTGGGTGTATGCCTCAAATCTTCCTGCAGAGTTTATAGAATTCCCCTGTGGGAAACATTGATGCATCCATCACCTGCCAGCCATTGGTGTGGGCTCTAGCACTGAACAGGGGCCAAGTAGGGGAACAGTGTGATGAGGAAAAAACTGAGGAGTGGGTGGGGGATAAGGAACTCTAATTGTGCTAGTTCATTCTTTACACATTGTGGGGTCAGGGATCTTTAAGATCTCTTCCAACCCAAACCATTCTGTGATATTATTGTCTACACCCCACCTAAATTCTGTATTTGAGATACAATCCAGCCCCTCAGTGGTGATGTCAGGCAGCTCCTGAGAATAGATAAACCCTCTGATAGTGGCAGAAGAATAGTCCTTCATCCCACTGGGTGACTACATGCTCGCAACACAGATTTAAAAAGCCTTGTTGTGTGTAAAATTTCATCTTGGGCAGGTAAATGTTCTCAGAAGATTTGTGTTTTGACCACAAAACAGACCGCACTTCCTTCTGAGGAGCTGATCCCCCTGCTGTTGCCTGTTGAACTCTGTATTCCACCAGTGCCAGAGGATTGGATGGTTTTATATAAAAAAATCAAAATTGAGGAAAATGGGATTTGTTTCTTCTAAGGGATTTTTTATATCTCTTGTTGGACGGTACCTTGTACCTAACCAGTTTCTTCTGCAGAATCAGTCATCTGTTCCTTACATGGATGTTGTGTCCAAACAGAGGAGAGAGGAAAAATATTGATAGGATCAGGGTAAAGGGATAAGAACACACATGAAAGGGAAGCTTTACGTCCCTTTTTGAGTATTGCATTGTTTTGTTCTGTTTTTTTCCTATATCCAGTTTACATACTTGCTAGTGACACACTCCAGCAGGGAACAAAACGATCTATGGTCAGAGCTTTGGATCCTTCTAGAGCAGCTACAACATATGTGCATTTCTGTCTGCTGCTGCTTCTGATGGTTCATCTTTTCTTCTTGCCTTCTTCCCCCACAGCTTGGATGTATTTTTCCGCTGGTTGTTTGACAAAAAGTTCCTTGCTGAAGCTGCTGTGCGATTTGAGTAAGTGGAGTTGAGCAAAAAGGCATTGTTTTACGATGGGAGGTGGTTCTTGTCAGCATCCAAAGGTTGTGGGGGCTCCCAGCTACTGCCCTGCAAGGAGGGAGCACCTTGTGCAGCCTGCTCTTGCTGCATCTCCCCAGGTGTGTGTTCCTGCCAGACAATGGGGCTTTCTTTGTCAACTATGTTATCGCCTCTGCCTTCATCGGGAATGCCATGGACCTGCTGCGCATCCCTGGTTTGCTCATGTACATGATACGCCTCTGCCTGGCCCGCTCAGCGGCCGAGCGGAGGAACGTCAAACGAGTATGTAGCGGGGCTGAGGGAGGGGAGTGCTGTGATGGGACCCTGATGGGGCTTGCCCAGTGCTGTGTATAGAGCTGGGTATGTTGCACATACCCACTCAGCTCTCAGGGTCTTTCTGCTGATGGGTCTCCATTCCCTCCTGCAGCACCAGGCCTATGAGTTCCAGTTTGGGGCTGCTTACGCTTGGATGATGTGTGTCTTCACTGTAGTCATGACATACAGCATCACCTGCCCCATCATTGTCCCTTTTGGTAAGCAATACCCCTCTGCCTCCCTGTGCCAGAGGTGGAGGGGAGGCAAGAAGGCTGATGTGGGGGAGGTACTCCCTATCAGTCTAGCAAAGAGGCTGATGCCCCACTCATCTGGCTTTCTTCCCCTTCTCCCAGGGCTCATGTACATGCTGCTTAAGCACCTGGTGGACCGATACAACCTGTATTATGCTTATTTGCCTGCCAAGCTGGACAAGAAGATCCATTCAGGGGCTGTGAATCAGGTAGTGGCAGCCCCCATCCTCTGCCTCTTCTGGCTTCTCTTCTTCTCCACAGTGCGCACAGGTGAGCACTGCACTCGGACCCTTAACCTCCTGCTGAGCCACTTCCCTGCTCAGGCTCTGATCCTGGCAGCCTCTGGCCACAGAGCACAGTCACAGTCCTTTTGACACTGCCACTTTGGTTTTCCTTCGCCCCAGGGTTCCTGGCACCCACTTCCATGTTCACCTTTGTGGTCCTTGTGATCACCATTGTGATCTGCCTGTGTCACGTCTGCTTTGGGCATTTCAAATACCTCAGTGCTCACAACTACAAGGTGAGGCAGAATGGGTTGGGTGCGGGACCCTTCTCCTTGGTAGCACAGCTCAACCACAAAACAGCAGGGGCTCTAGGGGGGGTCCCAGCCTGCTCTTCAGCATAGCCTGTCAGCCCTGACTTCATGGAGGGGATAGTCCTGAGGCTGTCTCTACTGCTTCTGAGGTGGGACAACAAGTACATTGCCCTGGCACTCTCAATTTCTCCTTTTCTCTCCAGATTGACCACACAGAAGTGGATGCCATGGACAACAGGCAGAACGGGAGACCTGCTACCAATCTGCCTGCTCCCAAATCAGCTGTGAGTCACTATCCCCACCTCTGTGCCCTGGCACACTCCTTACCTGAGTCTGGAAAGGGGGAGGTAACTCCCTGAGTACCTCACTCCTCACTTCTCATTTTTCTGAGTCAGCACATGGATCCTCCCAGTGAGGGTGGGAGGCAAATGTTGGGCACTGCGTCCCTCACCTGCTCTGGGTGATGAAGTGTAACCCCCACACACACACCTCTTTCCCACTGCTCCTCAGATGCTGTGCATTTACTTTCCATCTCTCTTTCGGCTGGGACAGTGAATCCAGCCGGGTCAGTCTCCCTTCTCATTCTACATCTTTGCACGCTTGCACGTCAGCAGAGGCTGTCACCCACCAGGCTTGTCCTAGTGCCAACACAAAGGTGTCCCCGTGGACGTTGCCTTGAAGGCCGTGGAAGTGCTTTGGGGACTCTTCTCTCCCCTGTCCAACATTCTGAGACCCCCAGAGTCAGTTCTCGGAACTTTACCTTGGCTCAACTGGCTCACTCCAACTGCTTCCTTCCACAAGGTTTTTGTATTGGGAATCTATGCAGGGCTGCAGGGATGGGGTAAAGCAGAGCCTCCTGTTTCCACAAGAGAGCAGGGCTGGGGTGTGCACATGTAATCCAGGCTCCTTCCTAGTCTCCAGACACCTAAGTGCAGCAACACTTTGCCAAAAGGAGAATCCCTATAAGAGGCAGGCAGTGCTTCAAGGACACATCTACTAGCAAAAAAGGGAATGCAGTCTTCCAGTTCACAGGGGCTCCAGAGAGCCTGAGAAGCCACATTCTTTCCCACCCCAGGTGCCCTGTCCTAGAATGCTGGGGTTTGAAACACATCTAGTGTTTCAGGGCCAAGCCCCACTCTTACACCTTTCCTGGTATATTCCATGGAGTCTGGTTGCTTCCTTTCCCTCCCAGCATATCCCCACGCTCAGCCTCATGCATGGTGCTTAGTGTGTTGTGCTCTGCTTCCTGGAGAAGTTTCCTAGACTCACGTGTGTTTCTACTCTCTCCCATGCCTGGCCCTGACAGAAGTACATCGCCCAAGTGCTGCAGGACTCCTCACCAGAGGGCGAAGCAACAGAGTCAGAGGAGCAGGGATCACAGGATGAGGAGCTCATCAATGCAGATGGCATGAATGACACAGATTTCCAGTCGTGTGAGGACAGCCTGATAGAGAATGAGATCCACCAGTAGGGACCTCAAAGGGTGGGAGGGGAAGGAGGCCCAGGAGCAGGGCAGGCTGTGTGCACAGAGACCTGGGAAGAGGTACCTGAGGGTGCTGGCTACTGCCCTCACCCTCCCGCCCCCAGGGCCGCTGCCTTCAGTGAGGGCAGGGGCCCTGCTGCAAGCTCTCCATCTCCCTGCCCCTCCATTCCTGCGCCAGCCTGGCTGCTCGTCAGGCATGCTCTTTACTAGCTACCTTCTTCAACACATCCCTGGACCCCAGACTCCCAGAGGCTGGGGAGGAGGGGGACCATAAGCCCCTGCGGTGCTTCCCTGGACCTGCAGGGAGGAGGAAAGCTGAGTGCTTTTTGGGAAGGGGCAGAAGGGGAACATTTGGGGTCTTCTGAGCAGGCAACTGTATCCCCTGTCTTGCTGGTGGGAAACACTAATAATTTATTAGATTTACAAGAAGGTGATAAATTAAAAACTTCAGTCAGTCCATTGGAAACCCCACCCAGGGAGGGGTTGGCTTTTGTTGCACCTTCTGTTCCTGTGTGTGCCCTTTCTCAACTGCTTCCAGCATCCAGTTGGTGTGGCATCCCAGGAGCCAGTCCAGGCGCAGGGGTGGTGATAGGCTTCCCCCTCACCACAGGGATAGTGACAGTGACAGCCTGGCTTCGCGATCAAGGGTGGCATCATGCTGGGGAAGGGGCACTGGGTTGGCATGAGCTAGACAGGCCCTCGCAGGGTGAGGGGTGCTGAGGGCATTTCTCATGAGCAGGAGGAGGTGCAGGCAGCCTCTCCGCCAGGGGCACAGGCAGGGGTCATTTAAAGTGGCATTTTACTTTGCACATTTTACTCCACTTTCAAACAAATCAACCTGACCCTCATGTGGTACTGCAGGCCCCCTTCTGCTGCCCTGTGTCTTCACAGCAGGGTCAGGCTTGGGGGGGGGGGGGGGGGGTGGG